TCGTCGCAACTTATGTGTTGCTTCTATTCCATATCCAGTAGGCGTTCATTGATATGCTTTGTAGATTTACTTACTAATGAAAGTTATGTTGAATAGTTTTTTTGAATAGACAAGATGAACCTAGATAGGATTCTTATATTGATGATCATGCAAAGTGATAAATACACGTTGAAGTCATGCCGAGATACAGGCTTTTAAACGATCTTCTCTTCAGCCGTTTGTAAAAATGCCGCTTATTAAGATGGCAAATTATTTGCTGTGCATTTCATCCCGTGATTGCGAAAGCCTTATGAATTCAAATACCCCTTTATATTAAGCGTGTATAATCATATTCTTAACAGTAGTGTTCATCACTTCCCGAAGATTAAAGAAGTGTGATGAAGACGGAGAGGCGCGTTTATGGATTAACCTATTATTAAAATGACGGCGTGGAAAGTCTCGTGTTTCCTTCAACTGTCGGAGTTCTGAATTCAAAATGCCAATTGTATTTGCTCTATGTAAGTGGGAATTATGTCCTTCTATACTTCTCTTTTGCTTTATGAACCACGATATTGAGGTCATCTGTACAGTACACTAACAGCTTTGCGAATCAACCTAAATTGAAATTTTGTTATCAATGTATTTGGTCACCCACCTTATATTCTCTTAACCCCGGTTGTGTGGTTAGTTATTTAGTTCAGTTTCGTTTATTTTTCTGTTTTTTTAAGTACCGCCAACTTTAGTTTAATTACTACGCCTGCAAGTGTTTTGACGTACGCATGAGGACCTGTCTCTAAAACAATCAAATACATTCGATTTTACGAAGCTCAAAGAGAATTAGTGTTCTCCTTAACAATGTATTGACACTCTGGGTAAATTCCACAGGAACGCCATTGTCTGGAATCAGAACATGTAGGATATTTCGCTGTGCCTCATAATTATTCAAAGTAGTTTGATGTTAAGTTGCGCACCATGTCAGATACAGATGCGGTTATGTCTCCAGCCTCGCAGGCGTGCTGCCAACGCGTGACAGAAATAGTAAAGGCATGCGGTGACAGTCATTGTCTCGATAAATTATGACCTTGCCGGGCAAAGTGTTGACACCAATTGGCCCACGGTCCTGGCAGTCCGCTTATTGTATAAGCCAAAGGCTATCGTCGTAGAGCGGTGTACCCTCACCTGATCTGGGTGAGTAAACTGATCTTAGAAGACATGGGGTCACTCTGTTAACGTGAATGTTTTTAGGCAGCAGAACAGTGCAAATGATTCTCATTTGTCATTATAATGAGCAAAACGTGCATAAAGTGTTTTTTTGGTAATTTCTTCTAGGTGAAAATCACCAAGATGTTTGCATTCACACTTCTGTTGGTCATGGACATTTTCCTGCAAGGCAAGGCTTGTGGGCCATTTTTTTCAACTGCAATGGTCCATTGCATTCAAGCAATGTTAAACGACAATTCTCAATTTCGTTAAATCAGGTTAAAAAGGAGCTTGCTCAACATATGCATTTGTAAGAAAATGGGAGGAAGGTCTATTGCTATGACTAAAGGCTCGAGAGTAGACGACCACGGAGTTGAAGGTTATAAGGGCACTGAGTGATCACATTAATGGTAAAATGCAAGCAAATGTCGACAGTAATAACGACATAACGGACAACGGGAATGCGCAGGACATCAAGGGTTCAACGAATGGTACAACACCACCAGGTCCCGGTGGCAACGGCAACCACACCGACAACCAAAATGGACAGGGAAGTTGCGGTTCCATCAGTGGTTCAACACCATCACGTCTCCGATGCTACGGTAACGCCACCGCCAACCAACGATTGGATGTCCCACCAATGGCACAACGCAAGCTGATTCCGAAGGCAGTGGCAACAATGTCAACAACAACCAGGATTGGCAGGGAAATGACAATACAACCAATGAATAAACGCCACCAGGTCCCGTTGGCAACAGCAACCACACCGACAACCAAAATGGACAGGGAAGTTGCGGTTCCATCAGTGATTCAACACCGTCACGTCTCCGATGCTGCGT